CCTACCCCTTTTAATCATGGTTAATAATGGTTAATCATGGTTAATAATGGTTAATAATGGTTAATAATAGTTAATAATTGTTAATAATGGTGGTTATGGTTAACCATCATGAGAATGTTAACCATCAACTGGTTGGTGGTTGAGCCTACCCCTCTGAAAAATATGATAGTCAGTTGGGATGATGACATTCCCAATATATGGAAAAATAAAATTCATGTTCCAAACCACCAACCAGATGATATTCTTTGATAGTCTGGTAAATCGAGTAATAAACGATACCCAACTTTAAGCGTATGGATCTATAAACTTCAAAGATGTGCCACAGGGAGTTTGTCTTTATTTAGCTAAGAACAAACATTTACATCTATATATAGTGATATGCATATTCACATGCATGTCCATATTCATATTTATATTCGTTAATATAGTCCTGGAGTGATTAGATAGACTATAATATCTATAATAGAATATGGACATTTCAAAAACCACACTCAAATGGGTACAGGATGAGGCCCCCCAGCTATAAGTTGCTTTATAAACCATGAAATAATCCCCAGTAACTAGTTCGTTATATCTACCATAAACCATGGTTTTTTCAGCCACTTATAAACCAACTGTTCACGCCATCTTGGGGGCCCCATCCTCTTTGACAACCCCGTCCGGTCCCGTAGGGTTCCCAAACGGCAGCACCGGCAGCTTCCAGGCACCCAGGTCCGCAAGGTCCGTGGGGGCGACCAGCACCTTTTCGAAAAACGGGCACGTGCTGGGGAAGCTCGTAGCGATGACCCATTCAAACCAATACTGCTTGGTGGTTTTAACTGGTTGGATAACATACATATAATTTGGATAACATACATATAATTTGGTTAACCAACATTGATACAATCATTACTGGTTGGTGGTTTGGAACATTTACCCTCTGGTGAACTAACAGTTTGCAATGGAAAGATCCACCATGCTATTAATGGGAAAATCCACTATTTCTATGGCCATATTCCATGGCTATGTTAAATAACCAGAGGGTAACTGGTTGGATAACATATGTATAATTTGGATAAGTGCTTGGTGGTGCAATTTCACCATCTTGAAACATGATGGAGTGAAAGTCAATGGGGTTGGGATGACATCCCATATATGAAATGGAAGTCATAAAAGCCATGTTTGAAACCACGAAGCAGATTAAAAAATGTGTGTTCTTCATGGATATATGGTGAGATCATGGAAACATCTATGGAATATATGAAGGGGATTGATATAAGCAACAATATTACTGGTGCAGGCCCCGGCGTTGGCCTTCATAAGTTGGGATATAGATGATGATATGGGGCCCCTACAATGGGAGTGATGACTCTTAGCATTTGGGATGGTAACTACCCTTTGGTAAACTTACAAAAAACTATGGAAAATCTCCATTTTTAATAGGTAAATCAACTATAAATGGGCCATGTTCAATAGCTATGTTAAATTACCAGAGGGTAACAATCGTGTAGCTCTAAAGCCACTGGAATTTCACATACCGTAAGTTTTCCTGTCAAAGTAGCCATTCGGAGGTATACCCTGCGTTCAGACACCCATTTCATAAGGATACTCTATGGGAATAGAATTCAACTGTTGGCTATTAATGAGATATCGATGGGATATGAATAACCAACAAATATATGGTGTGAATCTATAAAGGGTGGGTACTTAAAGTGTCTTAAAAAATGTTTTCAGATCAATCAAAGTTACTTCAAATAATACCCTCCAGTAAATTAACATCTGATTAACATAAACCCTGCCAGATAGGGGTTGAAAGACTAGTTTCCACTATAAATTGCTCAGTTTCAGGGTCAACAAGTTAATTGACCAGAGGGTATACCTTGTACTTTGGTCACCAAGTGTGACGACCAGCGTAGATCACCCTAAATGTCTTACCCGGTTATCCATCATATCCCAATGAATCCACATGATCTTCCTGTCTTCCCATTTTTTTGGGGTAGGACACCGACACATAAAATGGCTTGAATAGGATTTTGATGATAGATGAAATGAGATCGTTGATGTGGTGGTGTCTAAGATGCTATCAAATGATGTGTATATATATATACATATATATATTGATAAAAATTAAGCTGATGTAAAGAGATACAAATGATTTGTAGGGGGAGGTAAACGGAAAAATCATACAAAGGATGGCATGAGTAGGGGGGCACGAAATCATGAACATGTGCGGGTGACAGCTGTTTGTGGCAGCATTTGTTCAAGTTTCCGTGCACAGCCTGTCAATTCGGATCCAACGATCTCTTTCGGCGGTCGACCCTGGTTGACTCGTCATGAATGTTGTTTTTGTCCCCTGTCACCAGCCCACACCACATCCTTTGTTTTTCCAAGGGCCTCACCAACTGTTGACAGAAACATTCAGCTGCTGGTTTTTGTTCTGTCATTATTTGCAAAAGTTACCATCTGGTTATGACTAACAATTTGCCATGGAAAGATCCACCATGCTATTAAGTTCGGTAAACCATCTATGAATCTATGGACCATGGCTTAACCATGGCGAACTGTCAGCCATAACCAGAGGCTACATGGCGAACCTCCCAAATTCCGATCTCAAGGTCCAAAAAAAAGGGGCCTCGGTGGTGGTGGGCGGTTTGCGCTGCAGCTTCTCCCAATTCCTGTTGAGCTGAGTGTAGGGTGACGTCGGTGTAGGTGTCACACAGCAGTGGAGATGTGGTGAGAAATCTACAAGAGGGCGCAAACACATGTCATTAAAAGAACACTTGATGTTCAGCTACCCAAGTTTAGGGTGTTCAGGTTTGACCAAAGCTGAATGATGATGTGTTGTATCAATCTAATGACAGTGCCCGCAAAATTAGATGCGTTGGTATTTACGGACTGAGTATCCATTTGAGTGTGGGTTGGCTAATCCAAAGAAATAGACACAAGTCCATGTTTGGATCCCTGTCCATTTTTCGACTGAAGATGTTCGTTGGTTAAACACCTCAGTTTTTGCTTCTGAACCCCCAAAAAATCCGCCAGCTGCTGGTCAATCACCTATGCCTGTTGATCAAATCAGCCATATGTATTGATGCAATCATCCTATATTCATCTGCAGAATGATAAAGATCACAATCCTTGAGGCAATGATGACAACAGAAAATAATCACATGATATCAGTCTCACTTCAATCCCATAATATCCCATAATATCATATAATATCATATAATATCATATAATATCATATAATATCATATAAGATCATATAATATCATATAGTATCATATAATATCATCATAAAAATATTATCAATATGATCGATATCAGAATATGAATTCAGCATGGTGATTTCAAGCTGCCTCCGCAAGCGTTTCAAGGCTGGCAGCCGATCTGCATTGGGCCATTCGTCTAAGACCTCTGGGTCAGGCTACGGTGCCGACCCATGACTGGGATAAAGATGGGGGGAAATACAACTCATTGCTGATAAATGTCACTTCCAAAAGCTAGAAGATACATGTTTTTTTTCATAAAATGTTGTTCAGGGAGCTGCGGCAGGCTCCAAAGTCTTGTTCAGCTTCCGAGTCTGTTTGGAGGACTTTTTGGGAAGCTTCCCTCGAAATCGGTAAATCGGTGCCCAGTCGGCTTCCCAGTTCTTCACGACAGACCGGTGTTTTCCAACCAATCTCCTATGAAAACATGCAGAAACTGGACATGGATCATCGGATTGGTTTTCACGGGAAAATCTTAACCGGAAACCATGATTTTTACCATTAAATATGGGGGTGTCCTGTAAATTTTCCCTTAAACAAATCCAATGAATGAATAAAACCATCAGGAGCCCCCCTATGGCCCTATGACCCTGCTGAGCGCCGAGCTTGGGTTTCCATCAGGAGCCGATGCTTCCTTAGTCCAAATACTTGGCGTTGGCAAGTCGGTCAGAGTCTAGCATCATAGCCCAAGAGTACGAAGAGCTGGCAACTAAGATCTGGTGAATTGAGGAAATGTCACTGAGATGATTTAGACAATGTAGACCAACATCACCATTGACTCACTGACCACATACTGTTGGACTTTCGGGACCGCCCTTGGCTAAAGGATGTATTCGTGAAACAGCTTCCACTAGGGAAGCCTTCTGCCATTTCGGGATCTGAGAGATCCATCCACATCTAATCATGGCTGTGAGCGATCTTGCCGCTACGTTTTTTGCGCATCATCAATGCGGGAGGTCGTTCAGTCCACTGTACAGCTTTGCAAGCTTCTTCAGCAAAGATAAAGTCAGAAAAGCACATGCCCTTTCAACCACAAAGGCAAAAGAGTGATACTTCGTACCAAGCGTCCTGTGTTCCTCTGAGGACCAAAGAAATGTTTGCACAGTGAAAGCACAACACCATACAAACTTCACAACACAAATTTCTGCCGAAGCTCGCTCAAATTTGCGCACAGCAACTTGGTCTCGGGTATTTCCCTCGCCCTGCAATCTGATGCTATTGGATATTATCCAGGCAACAATGGAACAAATCAAGCCCAAATACAGGCACAGGATGTACAGTTTGGCTTCATGTCGAATGAATTCTCCTCTCGCGGCAGAACGAAGGCACCACATGACAAAAACCTCACCGATGAAAGCTGTTGGCAAAAATCCTCTGAGAAAATCATGAGCAAGCCAATTAAAACAAGTCCTGTTCTCAGGTTGCAGGGCTACTGATCGCAGCACCTGTACAATACTCGAGGACAGAAAGGATGCATTTAGTACATTGTAACCTAGGGATGATAAAATTTGAGCTTTGTTTGCAAGCAATCCTTCTCCCACTGCACACTCACTGCGGATCTTGCAAACCCACCAAATCACCCAAAGCGCAGTAAGAGGTGGATTCTTAGCAAGCAGACTCAGCAGACTGCGTCTTCTTGTCTCCAAAGCTTGAACCGTTAGCCAATCCAAAGTCAGGCTCTGACAAAACACGCAGAGATCTAGGAAGACAGCAATCACTTTGGGTCCTCGACGATCACATTCATGCCACGGAATACTAATTTCCAGCATCTCCCACAGCATGACAACAAAGAGTGCGATCACGCACCCTGACCCACGAAGGAAGACCTGCACCCTGACCAAGAGATGCCAAGATACCAAGAGTGCGATCGCACACCCTGTCCAAAGAATCGAGTGCAGCAGCAGCATCAGCCACAGCATCAGCCGCAGCAGCCGCCGCAGCAGCCGCAGCACCTGCACCGAATCCAGCAGCCGCAGGCGGAAAAATGCCAGAGAAATCCCCACGAGAAGAGATCCAGGGCCGTTGTCGTCCACGACTCTGCTCTTGAACGCTTGCTTGAGCTTTCTTACAGACTGCTTCCAAGTCATTGTGTGGGTCCCTCAAAGCAGAAATCAGCTCCTTGGTCATGGAGTGCTGGTCACTGGCAGCTCTGCCTCTATCGCAAGCAAGCAGAAGTTGAAAATCTGTTTGTGACATCCAAAGCAATCTTCGATAGGCATTGCCCTCTGCAAGACCTGTCCAGGTGTTGATGGATCGGTTCTCGCGGCAGGTGTCAATGACAAACCACACCTTGATTTTGCCACCCTTCATCATATCCAAGGGTTTTACCAGCAAAGCATCTAAGTCACAAATTGCATCGCTGTCGGATGCCCAAATGGCTGGCAGCTCACCACTTTGGAGCTGCTCGCCATGAGCCGCAACATAGACCACCACCAGATGAATATCTCGCTGTGACACATTATTTTCGACCAGCTCCAAGAAGCTCGAAATTGACCGTGTGAGGGCACCTTCGGTGACATGACCCACCAGTGAGATCAGATTTCGCTCCTGGAAGCCCCATATGAGCATTTCACGGGAGAAGTCCTGCGCATCGCGGCTGGCATTCGGCAAATTCACGAAATGACCTGCATCTTGGTACTCTTCAATCCCGATGCAGAGGGCCGCGAGGCACCTGGTGTCCATGGCAGCTTCTTAGGGCTCCATATTTTCTGAAGCCCAAACAATAGCCCCTTGACACCTGAGCCAAAACAATCAAGAAGCAACCAGGTCACAAGTCGCCTTCCCACTGCTCAGGCATTGCCAATGTTTTTTGTCCCTTGCCCGTGATCGTTTTCCTTCAACTTGGCAACCCTGTTTCATTGTCCGTTTCAACACTTCAGCTCGACCACTTTGATAGCCGATCACTGGAGCAGCCCCCTCATTTGCTGGGTTTCGCCCAATTTAGAGTTAGAGATGGCCATAGACCCAATTCTTGTGGTTGTCATCCCTCATTGGCTGATTCACATCCAGTCCCCGAATGGCTTCGCCACCCAAGCGTCTCAATGAGGTCCAAGGGAACGAAGAGCGGCGGCACTTCGGCCTTTGGAAGCCTCGGCGCGGTGACCCGGTGACCTTCGAACATCATGGTGGTTTCAATAGCAAAATACTCACCATGTTTCACCACCAAGATTGGCGGATTTCACTAAAACGACTTAGGAATTTACTGTGTCAGTATCACAAAAAATAATGTGGATTGATGGAAAAGTGATTGGGAAAACTGGTGCAATCTGAAAAAATGCAGCATCATATCTGTAAGAGCCCGCCACCAGCCTGCAATTTGACAACCTGAAATACTTGAAATGTGGTTGTCTGTAGATGATGTCCTTCCTCAACATGATCCATAGTTACTGCCTCCCAACTTCAGGATAATAAAGGATAAGTGCCACCGCCTTCACTGTGTTTTCATAGTTTTAGCACGTTTAATCCCTATTAATGCTTGTTGGTTGGTGGTTTGAATATTTATGTAATTATGTATTTATGTATGTATGTATAGTATAGTATAGTATCAGCATTAGTATTAGTATTAGTATTTAGTATTTAGTATTAGTATTTAGTATTAGTATTTGTATTAGTATAATATAATTAATATTATATATATATAGAGAGATATTCATCTATTTTCTATTATGTTCTATGATAATCTATTGGTTGCATCCCCCCTTTTTGGGATGTTGAAACATGTTTTTCAACCCCATCTCTCCGCACTGCACCAGGCTCTCCGGCTTCACCAAGCACAACGACGACTCCGCAGATTCCGTAGGCGCCACCTGCGGCATGGTTTGTTGGTTGATTCATATTGTGTGCGTTTATATATATATATATGTATATATCATTATATATCCACATGTCAAATATTCACATGTTCTGTCTGTCTATCTATCTATCTACCTATCGATCGATCGATCGGAATGCAATGACCTGACCATCATGGGGAGCGTTTCAGCAGGGGAGGCTCACCAGAAATGGGCGAGCCAACACCCTCGCGGGTCTTTCTTATGAAGATTGGGATGTAACCGACATCCGCCAGGGGGTTCAATGGATTCAAGAAATACTGAATTCGCTGAAAATAGACTTGCAGTTTCCAGGAAGATTCTGGAAGATTCTGGAAGTCTAGTAAGTCTAGAATCCAAGCTACAGTAGATCTGATCTCGAGAAGGGAGAAAGAACCAAGCCAGAAAGAATCCATAGGTCCAACTCGGCCCAGGGGCCCAGCGTTGGTTGACTTTGGGACTTTTGGATCATCTTTTGGAGATCAGCACCACCCATGAAGGATTTTCCTGTGTACCCTGTACGCAACCCCTTTCCAATGGAAAATGCCCCTGTCTCCAATGGAAAGACCCTGTTTTTTGGGGGAATTTTCCAGCCATGTTCCAGCTTGCCACATCTCAAAATTCCAAGACGATTCCGGGAGAGTCTGGGTACCCTCTGGTTATGTCAAAATAGCTATTGAAAATTGCCATTTATAGTGAGTTTTCCCATTAAAAATGGTGATTTTCCATAGCTATGTGAGTTTACCAGAGGGTAAATGATCATAGTTCACCAAGCTGAAAAGTTCGGAAAAAGCGGGATGATTCCCCTATGGCAGCTCCCATGTCTCTCCTCCTGGGATGGTTTTGATCGCCAGGAGCCTTTGGTTGCAGGCAGACCAAAGGAAAGGACATCTGGGAAACCATGATACCCTCTGGTAAATTAACATAGCTATTGAAAATGGCCATTTATGGTGGATTTTTCCATTGAAAATGGTGATTTTCCATAGCTATGTTAAATTACCAGAGGGTAATTGGACCCTTTGTGGCAACACCTTGTGCACCCCTACTCAATCGTCAATCTACTTAGAATGTTCAAATAATTTAAATGGATTTAAGGGGGAAGACTAGAAACTGGGATTCTGAACCTCCCACAGAAGCAGTCAGCAGTCTCGCATCTCAAGAGGTAAATCTTTCAAATACCCTCTGGTAAACTAACATAACTATGGAAAATCACCATTTTCAATGGAAAAAACCACTATTTCTATGGCCATTTTCAATAGCAAACTGTTAGTTCACCAGAGGGTACATACCAGAATGCCCAGTCTGACCCAGAGTTACGAAGTGGATGGAATTTTGTTCCCATCAACTGCCAGTCACAAAGCCCACTTCCCACTGGGTGTCCCCACGATGGTTGGCGCGACCAAGAGCCTGGTTGGTCAGCAAAGCGGTCTTGGAAAAATCCCCCCATCATGGCTGGTTGGTTGAGCCTACCCCTCTGAAAAATGATGGACGAATCGTCAGTTGGGATGATGACATTCCATTCCCAACTGTTTCTGGAAAGTCATTCAAAATTCATGTTGTTCCAGTCACCACCAGATGGATTTTCCCAGCACTGACCTATCACCAGTAGAGCTTGGTGACCTTTGGAGCATTGGTGTTTTTGAGCCGACTCATTACGTAAGATGCCGTAGCCAAGTACATCCCGAAGCGACGTTGCGCTGTCACAGTTTGCGACCATGGGCAATGAGACCACCCGGTTGCCGGCGGATCCAACTAAAACTCGTTGCCAAATCTGCGCAAGAAAAAACCTATGTTTCCTGGCCACATCGTTGGCTTGATTTTCCCATAGTTTCCCATTGTCCCTTCCACACTTTCATTTGTTGATGATTCATGATACCCTCTGGTGAACTAACATAGCAATGGAAAATCACCATTTTTAATGGGAAAATCCACTATTTCAATGGCCATTTTCAATAGCAAACTGTTAGTTCACCAGAGGGTACAGCCCTGAAATGATACACCACTGGAATCCAATGTCGACTTTGCCATCCGAAGGTGGACCTTGAGTTCCCTGGGTCCCACCTTCTTGAGGTCCTGGAGCTTGGGTCCCGTGTCAAGATCCAGGTGCAAGATCGAGCCTAGCGAAGCGAGGCGAGGCAACACATCTGGCTGACTGAAAATGGAGCACCTACCCTCCCGTAAACATACAAAAGCTATTGAAAATGGCCATTTAATATCATTGAATGCCATAGAAATAGTTGATTTACCCACTAAAAATGGTGATGTTCCATCGGTTTTTGTAAACGTTCACCAGAGGGTAGAGGACCTTAATGGCCTGGCAGCCCCAGGTATCCTGACTACACATCCCCTACCCAAAAACAAAAATATCCCAAGTCCTCGCTGTTTGGGATGCAACATATTCCTCAACAAGAATGGCCAAAAATCTTTCCCAGACACAAAAAAAAAACCTTGAGCGAATCTTCTGCTTTCATGGGGCTCCTCCTGCCGCCACCCCGTTGGACCCCGGCCATGGCGCGCTGTGGAAGTTTGATCTGGTCGGCTTGGCGACCCATGGCAAGGATTCATCCCCTGGTCTAATCTGGCAATGCAAAGCCCCAATCCTTGCCGGATGTTTAGCTCAGTTCCTGCATCAATGGATTGGTTTAAGGGAAAATCTACAGGAAACCATCGATTTTCCTATGAAATATGGGGCTTTTCTATAATTTTTCCCTTAAATCAATCCATTGACTGCAACATTCCAACCATTCAACAGTCCCCCAACTCACCCCATGGATCGATGGACTGCACTGCCTGGATCCGGTAAAGTGTGCTTCCCCTGGCACGCTATGGCATGGATATGCTGAGGCATGGCAGAGCAATTCTGTCGGTTCAAGTGACTGCTACCCCGTTCATCCTTAGCTGGTTAGTCTCTGACGGTTGGAGATGTTCCATCGAAACCCTATCAACATTGGCCATTCAGGAGTCATTGAAAGGGAAAAAATCATCAATCATTACTGGTTGGTGGTTTTAACCATCTTGAAAAATACTAGTCAATGGGGAGGATTATCCCATATATTCTGGAAGATAAAAAAAATGTTTGAAACCACCAACCAGATTACCATTACTATAAATCAATATGCTGATGTCAACCATCGATGAATAAACCCCAAACGGATCCAAACGGCTGTTTAATTGGTGGTACCATTTAAGTATCAGATTCTCATTATTTGGGGAGTACCTCCCTAATCCATAAACCATAGTTTATTCTACCATCGAGGGTTGATACTAAACATCATTGAACAATACAATGAAGATCAATGAAGTAAAGCATGAGCAACTTTGAACTCCTCATTTGACTGGTAGAGATGCATAGGATCATCAACCCACAAAATGGTCCCAACGGCCTCGTCGAAGCCGTCGAAGCCGAGGCAAAGGGGATGATGCTCGGCCTGTGGAGCCGCTGGATGCTTCCACAGTTTTTTTGGTTGAAAAGATATGTTAACAATCCTTCGCAGGTGTGAAAATATGTTCACTAACTAAGTCACCAACTCACTCACTAACTGGGAAACAGCTGCTAATATAAATTGTTCATTAACACATGTTTAACCATCTGCGATTTTTTTCAAGTAACTGGAAAACATCTGCCTCCGCTGCTTCAGCCTTTCAGCTAACAGCTAACAACTGGTTTCACTGGATTTCGTTTCTTCGACCTCTCCACTTTTTTGAAGATTCGGGGGCCCAGGGCCCATTGTTTTCAAATGCCCTGAACCTTAACCAGTTATGTTCTTCCAGGTAATTACTGACCTGGCTAAAAATCTGCCCATCTAGGGTTGATTCTCACTCCCACAATGTCATGATTACCCCCTGGTACTGACTAACATAACTATGGAAAAT